CCTCCGCCCTCCGTTGTTGTTGGAGGGCGACTGCATCCAACTGCCCAGTAGCATCCTTCACGAGCCTCCTCCACAGAGGCCGATCCTGACACCTCTGGTACCAGTCATCGGCAATTCCACTCAGCTCCCCACCACACTTACACACACGCACACTAAAGACAAAAAAATATCCTCAATAATCCGTCAAACACACCTCACCACATCCTACTTGCTGCAATTTCATTTATAATAGCACTGCGTGCACTCCCTTCTACGGTGCCCTGTGGTTAACAGGCCATGCATGCTAAAGGCTACACCGGTGTGTGTTGCGGCCCGAATTAACGAATTCCCTTAAATTATTCATGGTTAATTAATATCTAAGGCGAGGAGCGGTCGGTCTGCCGATTACCTGCCGACTGTAATCTTGTTACCGCCGTCGGTACGGGATGATTGGCCCACTAACGCGATCTCACTGCGGCGGCCCTCAAGAGAGATGTTGGATAATTTCGCTGAACGAAGCAGAATGAATAGATTGAGAATACATTAGAATTCTGGGATTGTTGTTGTTGTTTTTTTGTGTGTGTTTTGAGATCTTAAAACGTATCCGGGATTGGATTGGGAGCCGCTGGTGGCATTTCAGTATTGGTGGTTCCGTTCCATAATTGCGAATGGCAGCGATGTTGTTGTCCAGGTGGTCGATGACAATGTCGAGGTCTCCTGCTGCTGCTGGTGGTCACGACGAGAGAGCTGTAGCAGAGAGAGAGATCGTGTCGATCTGCTGTTCCTCCTACGTTGAAGGAGCGAAGACCACCGTGGTCTTGGCTGTGCGGTCAATAGTTTGGGTTGCATAACCACAATCGCACTCATGTGGCTTGTCTTCGTGAGTCTCTGTGTTCATAATTAAGGCTTTTGTTGGGTTAGATCGCGTAAATATAAATGTGTCGTTAACTCACCACCACCTAACAAAGCCAATTAGTAAAGGTTGTCACGTGAACAAAAGTGCCAATTAGTTACTACCTCAGCACACCGGTGCGTTGGAGAGTAAATCTACAACATTTTCAATTTGAGTACGACGTTTCGGTTGCGATTTGCCATAATTCTGGCTTATTGCCTGATGAAGCTGGTTGTAATAAATCAGCTAATTGTGGGAAGTGGACTATTCGACACATTGATGCAAAGGCTCGTCTCAATACTCAAAGCAGCAATAAGATTTACCGCCGTGTTTGCTCACGATTCCTATGCTTCGCTGTTTCCGCAAAGGGGAAACGGCGGTGGGTGAGGGTGAGAGGATGTGTGGAGGGTGCGGTGGTGTAGCGGTTTGCGCGCTGCGCTATGAACCCGGCGACCCAGGTTCGATTGCCGCTCACGGCCAACACCAGTGACGCTTATCTGAACCGGGCCTCCCCTAGGTCGACTCAGCCTCAAATGAGTACCTGGTGCGGTGTGTAAACATCGCCACTGGGGAGACAAAGGCGGTCGGGCCTGATGCTGGCCACCCACCCCCCCGTGTACAGTTCCGGCCTTTATAGGTGCTCGCTAACAGCACTTGCCCCTACAGTCTGTTAAGGCTATACGGGGGGTCTTTGTCTTTGAGGGTGCGTATGAGTATCTGGTGCGATGTGTAGCCATCGCCACTAAGGGAGACAAAGGCGGCCGGGCGTGGTTTCGGCCACCCACACCCCTCGTATACCGTGCAGGCCTTCATAGGCGCGACCCGCTAACAGCACTTGCCCCACAAGTCCATTAAGGCTACACGGGGGATCTTTGTCTTTGCGTATGAGGGTGTGCGTGGATGTGTGCGTGCGTGAGCTGTGTGCGTGTCAGTTTAGGGAGCGGTCGTGTAGCCGTTAGCGCACTGCGCTACGAACCCGGCGACCCGAACTGATGCATGGCCAATACCAGCTGGCACTGGCGAATGCTATATTTGAATTTGTCCCGAGCCTCCTCTAGGTCGACTCAGCCTAAAGAGGACTTGGCGCGATTTCTAAACACCAGTAATTGGGAAACAAAGGCGGACGAGCGTTGTGCTGGCCACAACCCCCCCCCCCCCCTTTGTGTACTGTGCCGACCTTCATAGGTGCTCGCAAACAGCACTTGCCCCAACTGTCTATTAAAGTCTATACGGGGGATTTTTGTCTGTATCTGTGTCAGTGAAAATGGAACTTCATCTAAAGACAACTTCCATGACCGACACTGCGTGGAGAAGCACGCATCAATCAGTGGATTAACGAAGGCGCTGTACATGCATACATACGCACACGTACACGGCTGGTAGGGTGTATATATGTGTGTGTGTTAAAATCAGTCCGGGCGTGGTGCTGGCCACCCACCTCCTCGTGTGCCGTGCCGGCCTTCATCGGTGCTACTCGCTAACAGCACTTGCCCCAACAGTCTGTTAAGGCTGCACGGGGAATTATTGTCTTTGTTAAAATCAGTACGAACGGAGGGCTCGTTAAATGGCTTCTAATTAAGCGGAAAATTGCGACTAACTCAGCCTTTATTGTGTGCTCATCCGTCCCCTAACGAGTGGATGCGGTCCAGAGGCGGTGTGTATATGTGCCTGAGTGTATGTGTGTTTTTGCCGGGCGTGGTGTTGGCCACCCACCCCCTCGTGTGCCGTGCCGGCCTTCATGAGGTGCTCGCTAACAGCACTCGAGGCTATACGTGAGCGCATTGCGCTAGCGAACTCGACGCCGAGTTCGATTGCTGCTCACGACCAATAACAGTGGCGAATACCCGAGCAGGTCCTGGGACTCCCCTTGGTCGGCTAAGTCTAAGTCGAGTACCTGGCGTAGTATGTAAGCATTAGCACTGGGGAGAGAAAGGCGGTCGGGTGTGGTGTTGGCCACCCACCCCCTCGTGTGCCGTGACTGCCTTAATAGGTGCTCGCAAACAGCATTTGCCCCAACAGTCTGTTAAGTCTTTATGCAGAGGAGCTGGGAAACCAATGAACATCTGTCACAGGCACGGGGATGAAACCCCCAGAGAATTAGGGGTTGGCGTCGCGCAGAGAGATGGGAAATGGGACCAGCAGACCCGGGCCCCAGTACAATCCCCTTGCTATCCCCTCGACACTTAGGGGATTTCGCTCGCTCAATCATCGATCCTTCAATCACCGTTCATTCAAATGTCCGCCCATTCAAATGTTCAACATCGATTGTTCAAGTTTTACGAGGTAATTGACCAGCTAATTGTGCCCGTTAATTGATGGGTCAAGTCAAATAGCGTGTCCGTGGTGTTAATAAATTGTTGGGAGCGGTAGCCCAGTGGTCGGCCCACTGCGCAAGCTGCCCCCGTGAATTAAGATTCACAAGCCACGGCTCGCATCAATGGCGAGTGATATCGCGAATATATACATGGACAAGATATATATTTCTGGTGGTATAGTCGTTATAGCACACGTACACAGAGTGCGGGTAGGATTGCACAGTGGTTACGCTTGTGCTATACAGCAAGATGGACATGGGTTCGATTGCCGACTCGGGCGCTTTTCTGTGCTGAGTTTGTATGTTCACCTCCCGCTGTGCTGGGTTTCCTCCCATAGCTACACAAACATATCCCTGCAATGTCACTGGTATTTGGAAACATGCGTTTGGAGTATTTGGCTGCGATAAAATTCCACGTGAGAAGCCACTTCCTTGAGCAATCATTTTTGATAGCCAGGTCGCCTCTGAACTCTGAAAAATAGCTATACAGTATAGCTCAGTGGGCCGTATCTGGTAAAAGAAAAAAATAGTTTAGTATTGGCTATGCATCCCAATGCTGAAAATTACATGCAGATTACTCAATTGGGATCATACACAGCAGCAGCATTGTCACCCCACTGCGACAACTTGACAGGACCCTCCTGCAGCAAAAGTCTTGAGACTCAGTGAGGCTTTCCTGGGTAAGCGAGCGGAATAATTTTAAAAATATATAAAATATATTTAGGAATTGTTTGGAATAAGTTGATAAAGAGAATCCAGTTTGCCCGGAAGGAAAACCAACAACTCAATTGAGGGGATCAACGCTCACATCTCCGCATAGACAGATTCATGAATCCACTGCTGTACTACCACCTCGCATGCAATGGACTTACAAACGAAACGATACAAACGAGAAATCATTGATTTAATACCCTGCAGTAATAAGTGTAATTTATACTAAGCAGAAGTATACATTACTTTGTAAATAAATAATCGATTCTTACACGAAGGATTCCATTATACTTAAGCATAAAATAATCTATACATGGTTACAGGCATCTCGTGATTCAACGAATTTCCTTCATTTAAGATCATGGTTCCACTCAATAATCGATTAAAACAAATACTGTGGCCAATGTAGCGGCCTCTAGTGGCTGATGTGATCAACCCATTACAGTACTGTCCACGATACGACACACATAAACAAACACGCGCATCAAAATCAATCGATTTCACCCGCGATTCCATCCATGTGTTTCGAGATCAAGTAATCGATTTTAATAGGTAGCCATCGATTGATATTTGAACCTTGTGCAGTTCAGCGATTAATTGGCATGCCATTCGATCTATGTAGAATATTGGGAGAGAAAAAAACTCACATTCGGTCAAGAAGTGAAAAATATATACTGTACAGAACAAAAGGCGGACGTTTCGGCCAATGGACCTTCTTCATGGTACACAAACATTTTGTTTAGGACCATTTCCCGAAAAGTCGCCTATTACATCCATCCATAATATAGGTGTTTTTTGGGGGTTTGATTGCGTAAATAAATATAAATGTGTCGTTAACCCCGCCACCACCCGACGCAGCCAATTAGTAAGGCTTGTCACGTGAACAGAACGTGGCAATTCGTTACGAGTACAGCAACACCGGTTGTGTGTTGGAGAGCAAATCAACAACATTTACAATCGGAGTATTACACACACGTTTCATTTTAAGGCAGCGCGGTGTTCATCGACGCTTCATTGTGCGCCACTGCAAGCAATCACCGAGTAATCGATGATAATAATCGATTACTCTTAATCGAATCGATGGTCGATATCGAATACGTGTTGTTTGCGGTCACCACGTGACTCCCCCCCCCCCCTTCACAGCCAGCAATGGCGCCGACCATCCAGAGTGCTCAGAGAGACGCAGAGTCCAGGTTCGGTTCCTATCCCGAATACCCCGAACCCCCCGAAACCCCAAATCGAGGGGGACGCCTCTCGCCGGTGCTCGGGGATCCCGGAATGGGGATATAACCTAAAACTTCCCCGGGGTCGCGGTCTCACGGGGTATAAATAGCGACTCGGCCTACGAGGACTGAGGGCGAGGCGCTGCTGGCCTAGAATCGCTGCCGCTTTGCGATGTGCGAACACGGCGGGGAGACTAGGCGAGCACGCCCCCCGTTTTTTCGGTGTCGCAGTTATTGTTATTGATTTTAATTGTATCGTTTCGCGTCGGTATAATTGACGTGGTTTTATTTTGGCAGGGGAGGTTGTGCGGCGATGTCGGTATCGCGGCAGGGCTGCGTGTGTGGCGATTGTTAAGTTGCGGCTTTGCAGTGGTGGCGTTTGTGTTGTGTGTGTGTTTTTATGTGGGTCGGTTGGTGCCAAGAAGTATGGGGAAAGTTGGGCTCAGGATTTAAATGTGAACACAAAGGAGGTTGTGTACGGTATTGCAATAAGTTCGCGCAACAATTGGAGACGTGTCCGTCGGAGGGACACAATATATGAACATCTATCTAGGGTAGCGATTGCAGGCGGATCGGAATTACAATTATGAAAAGTGAGGACGGGAACTGGCAAGTGATGGAAACTTGACAATGAAAAGTAACGTCCCGTTGTGCCTCGAGAACAAACGGTTTTTACTTAGGGGCAATCCATTTAGTACGTACGCATGGAGGGTTCGGGTTTAACCCAAATGCGTACGCTTGCGTATGGGGGGGGGGGGTCTACTGCCAATGTTACGTAGGCATAGGAAACGGGGGGGGGGGGGGTGGTAAAGCCTCGATAATAATTTGTCTACATTGGCTTTCAAATGAGTTAGATAGTCCGGCGATGGACTATCTGTTTGCTTAAAACGTTAATATTATTAATCCTTGATCGTTTCTGCGTGGATTCAACATCGGCCGTTCTATAGGATTCGGGGTGGGGGTGCGTCAGGCGTACGTACTCAGGTGGGGGGGGGGTGTAGAAAGTCCGCGTGTGTACTCAGGTGGGGGGGGGTGTAGTAAGTCCGCGTGTGTACTCAGGTGGGGGGGGGTGTAGTAAGTCCGCGTGTGTACTCAGGTGGGGGGGGGAGGGTGTAATAAGTCCGCGTGTGTACTCAAGTGGGGGGTGTAAAAAATCCGCATGCGTACAGGGAGGGGGGAAGGGGTCAAGTTTTGACAGATTTTTGCGTACCCACTAAATGGATGGCCCCCTAGCGCTTGCGTACTGCCTGCTGTGACGTGGTTTTAGAAATACTTTCATGAACCAAAAATAATACAGTGGAACAAAAGCTCAAACGATGGCATTGTAATTTAAGAGACTGCCAGTGGGAAACACGGATTGTAGAACATACGCAGGTTAAAGACAATTTAGACTGTCAGTAGAAAGTCGGTGCGCCTTGTCACAGGAAACGTCGCTCGAAGGGAATGATGGCCGATATAGTTAAGACTAGTGACGGAGTGGCAGCCAAGGAATATAGAACGCGTGAGAGAGGACATCTCCCTCGGTGTTATTTAACGAGACCAAGAATCAAGTCGGAACTCTAGCAGATAATTACAACCCATCGCGTTGGAAAACAAGCCCGCCATAAACCGATATCTGGGAACTACCGCTTAGATCATTTTAAGCGACCTGTAACACCCATGCTGCTACAGAGAGGGTAGTGTGCGATGCATGACATCCACACCGATATTTTACACGCTTTTTTACTCTGTTGTATTCTCAAATCTTGTAACTCAATTTTAACCCACTTCCCAATGTGGTATCGACTGCAAACTTGGTATACTTATGTCATATTGATGACAATACTATATTCTATCATAAAAAATAACTTTTTAAAACATTTTTTAAATGTTGTTTCGGCTTGGGTCTAATTGTCCACAGTCAACTGACGTTGGCTGTATTTGGCCACGGTTCCTTACGTTATGGCAAGCTTCGGGGCCACTTCCTGGAGTCGTGGAGTTCTTCCATTACTAGTACATTGAATAAAAGCGTGTTTTTAAAATAAGTTTAAAAATATATTATTTACATAAGTAATTTTGTTGTGGAGCTGAGACCATCAGTTCACAATACTGTAGGCCCCAGTTTAATTACAAGGTGGTTGTTTGGACTTAAACCCAGGTTCTTGGCAGTGGCAAATCAGCCACATTTAGATTCATACTTGAATTTTGGGTTCAAATCGAGTAAGTAAAATGTGTGCTGTAAACCCTCCTCCACCTGACAAAGTCAATGAATAGAGTTGTCACGTGAACACATTTCACTTACACGATCTGGCCAAAGAATGCATTATTAAACAATATTGGTCATCAAAGCCTCTGTGTTAAATTCACCTCATAGAGTCCGTGTTTAAATCAAATGTTTTAATCCATTACACACATTGATGATTGTGGAGGTGATGTCCTGGTTACACACGTGCAGTTTTGTTGTTGACTTTGTCCTTGTTGTGTTCAGTAGGTCGAGTTCACACAGAGGAGCTCCAGAGAGGTAAGTTCACCACTTCTTCTTTCAGACTCAACCTACACAAATAACAAACATCTGTGATTAATTTCTAGTCGCTACACATCACGTATTTTTGCGTCCACATGAAAGTGATTCTTGCTGGTCCGTCCAGTGAGGTCACTGTGAAATATATGACATTCAGCAGTGGATTGACACACGCCTGTGTGTATACATCAGTAGTAATCGCGATTGTTGTGTTTAAATCTCCAGGTCCGGGTTGGTATGCCGAGTCAAATACTGCAACACCCTTCCCGACATCCCTTTTGACCCCAAGTTCATCACCTACCCATTCGAGGCGAACAGGTGAAGTCTTAACACCAGTTTCACACAGCATCACATCCCTTATTAATTGTACTAATAGGTGTGGGTGCAGTGGTTAGCAGATTGTGATGTACATTGGGCGGCTTGAGTTTGATTCCTGGCAACTACTAGTATGAGTGGTGAGTGATATCTGAACCGGTGCAAGGCCGTTTGGGGGGGACACATTCCCCCCCAATGTTGACTCCATGACTACGGCCTTGACCTGGTGTAATGTGTTGTTGGTCACACCACCCTATCGTGCTCTGTCATCAACCCACACTGTCCAACGTGGTGAAGTATGGCCAAGCAACCCCATGACTGAAAGGAGTAGGAAGACCCTCATCCAGCAGTGGATTGATAATGAACTCTACTGTATGTAATCATAACCAGAAATCAATAATAAAATTAGTTTACAGTTAAGAATAATTATAAAAAAACACTAAACACTGAAAAGTGTGCAAAGAAGCATGGAGTGATGCTTGCTTGCAATTACATGGAAAGACAGAAAGAGGAACGCATAGATTAAACAGGTTAATGATGTTAAAACTGTAAAGAAAGTGGGCTTGGGCAATACATGTCACTCGAGGGCAATAATGACAGATGGTTAGAATAAGAATTGTAAAATGAATAATTATGCAGTGGTCGCCGAGGAATGGAATGCTTCTTAGAGGATGTCTACCGAGGAGATGAAGGAATGAAATCGGTTCATGTCCATGTGCTCGGCGGATTATTACATCATGGGAGGTGGCGGTGGATAGGGGAGGCCTTCATCCAGCAGTGGATTTTTGTGTGTTTAGTTTGTTGTCCTTCCCCCGCGCCTCCAATTAGCATGGTTGGCTATGTGTACGGTGCGAAAGAGGTTCAACAAACGTGCATTTAGATTATTTTGCTGCTTTTAATTTTCACATAAGCCACTTTGTTGAGCTGTCATTTATGACTAGGTTGCTTCTGAAAAATAAGCTAACGGGCTTTACTTGGAAAGACATTTTGTGTGTGTATTTTGAAAGTGATTTGTTTACCTTTCCAACACTTTGCACTCCTATCGTGTTTTTGTATTGTTGTAACGTTCTGACCTACCCCTACTGTACATCTTTGAAAAATAGCTTTGTATCTTATCGGATTCCTCCAGTATAAATACATTTTCTGATACGTAAAAGAATAAGCAGGAATTGTAACTGGCGTCCGCTGCAGGTTCGTGCAGTACAAGGCGACGTCGCTGGAGAAGCAGCACAAGCATGAGCTGCTCACAGAGCCTGACCTGGGGGTCACCATCGACCTAATCAACCCTGACACCTACAAGATCGATCCCAATGGTACGTAGCGGTTGTATAAATCAACAGATTTAATTGTTAGGATTGTTAGGATAAGTACAAATAGTGAAATCAATCCAACCGTTATTTTTAATATTTCTCAGACAATGCCATTTTTTGTTCATATTTTCCTGCCTTTTTCCCCAAATTACATTTAAACTTGCAAGTGAGCAGTGTACCATGTTGTGTGTTAGATTTGGTCGCGTGATGCAAGTGTGCCTATTCTGTATGCAGCGTACCTGGACCCAGCTGATGAGAAGCTTCTGGAGGAAGAGATCGCAACACCACAGGGATCGCGGAGGTAAAGAGACCCCGGGAGTATTTTCACCTGGAAAAACTAAATCGGACTCAAATTAAATATCTAATTTACACAGTTTGAGCATGCTTGCCACTGTTGAACTTGCGAAGCAAGATGCAACTCGCATCGAGACGCAACACGGCAACAAGATAAGAGCTCTTCGACCTTAGCCTGGCCATACGTGGGCTCGCCCAAAGGGACACCCCCCAGCTCAATTTTTTTGCTGCTCACAGATCATCGCACTCGATGATGCGGACCATGCTTATTCAGGCGGCCTGGCTAGGGACGATGGATTCGCAACACCTGGAGAAACATTCAAAACAGCCCCGTTGATGACATAGCGACTGCTAACTACGACTACCAAAACGTGCACAAGTTAGAGCCATCGTTGGGATTTGAGGACAGCAAGTGGGCTTGGCTAGAACACGTCACGGTTAAAAAGGGATGATGGGCGGTGGGCGAGGCTAGCGGCCGTGTGGCAGCCAAGGGAGGGGTGAACGTGGGCCAGAGGGGGCGTCCACCGAGGTGAAATCAGCTCGTGTGTAGAATCTTGTTTCTATGGGACTCTTTTTTTGCCAGTATCAAGGGTCCCATAGATATAACTCCTCGACCCGAACCATTAATGCTTTGATATTCGCATTGTTTTTATGCTGTTCACCTTTTGGCGTTTTCTGGTCTTAACACTGTTAAGACAAGGCCATCAAGGAGGCTGTCTCCGGTGTAGGCCAATCCGTTTCAAGGACTATTCTATTTCGAATTTATAAAAACGCTCTTTCCAGGACAGTGCATACGTGAGAAAAGCACGTTTGTTTGGTGGAACCTGTGATAGGGGTGGTGGTGATGGTGGGAGATGTGTGGTTTAATGCAAACTTGATGTCTTGCAATAGGCGCCTATTTGGTGATTGAACATCTTAACATCTCCTGTATTCTCTCCGCAAAGGGTAAAGCCTATTCATTCTTTCATCATGTGGGTGCTAGGTTGATCGTTGCATCGCGGGTTCATGAGAGATGGTGATGGCTTCACCCGGCAGTGAACTGTTCCTACTTTGCAGGTCCCAGCAGCATGCGAAGGTGGTGCCGTGGATGAGGAAGACGGAATACATCTCCACCGAGTTCAACCGTTACGGCATCAGCAACGAGAAGCCTGAGATCAAGTGAGTTTCTGCTGCCCCTTCACAGGCCCTCGGTTCACACACACACATACCGACACACACCGCTCCCCGGCATAAAACTCACCGAGCATCATGTCTGATACACGTAAAGGGTCGTGACGGACTGACACAGTGAGTGGCTTGTTCAGCAAGGTTCTGGAAAGGGCTAAAAAGATGATCATTGCTCCTCCGTATAAAATGCTGAAGCTAGTGTTGCGCCCGAAACGTCGTGATTTATTTTATTTTCTACCTACGTGACTTTACCGAAAGAACCAAAGAGTATGGATTCCTGCAGTCACGAAAGCTTCAAATCGAGAATATTTATCCCGCAGGAATCCGATGAGCTGTGAAGCTCTTTTTCTCAGATGTCCTGTGTACTGGCAGGTGGGACCCGACAAACACCCTTGGCCCGTGGGCTATAAATGATTTGATTTGACACATTCGTCAGTGATACTGTGCCCTTGAAAAGAAAAGTATATAACAGGCGACGTTTCAAACCAAGTTCCCGTCATAGCACATGAATTGGAGAGGCCTGAGAGGCCTGGATGAGAAATCGGTGTCAAGAATGTGATCCTGATGAGCGGTCGTCGTTGTTGTTCTCGACGTGCGTGTGGAGTTTTTGTGTTGTTCGTGCTTTGTGCAGCGCACCGCCAATGCAGCAGCAATGCCGCCGGATAATTTGTTCGATTCCGTTCGAGCTGCATTGGCTTCCGATTGCTGAACGAATACATTGTAAGGTCGCGCTCGTTACGCGCAAAAGTGCTTGCCACAAGTGAACCAAAATACCTGGCTGATCTCGTCAAGGAGCTTATAAACCATCACGCGTACTCCGGTCATCCTCGCAGCGGCTTTTGGCGAACCGTCGAACAAAGATGGACACTGCATTGCATGCTTTCAGATGTGCTTCCGTGGCCATCTGGAACGCTTTTCTGATGAGGCAGTCACTGGAGCTATGCACTTTTAAATCTAAACTGAAAACTGTTTTTATTTAGTACTGCTTTTTGTGTTTAGATTGTTGTCCTTCCCTCGCACCTCAGATTAGCACAATTGGCTATGTACGGTGTGAAAGAAGTTCAACATACAAAACACTCCCGTCTTTTCCATGCGTTATGCTAACCTGCCCTCCGTCCCTCCCGTGACCGCAGAATCGGCGTGTCCGTCAAGCAGCAGTTCACAGAGGACGACATATACAAGGATCGCGACAGCCAGATCTCCGCCATCGAGAAGACCTTCGAAGACGCCAAGAAAGAGGTGCTCTGCCCCCCCCCCCTCTCCCCACGTCGCTGGCGACGATCGACAGGGATTTGAATACTAACGGAGTGATGCATCGGTTCCATTTGAGATTGATCTCCCTCCTGTGTCTCTTTCGCCCTCACAGATCGAGGCGCATTACAGCAAGCCGCGGGTTGTCCCTGTGGAGGTCATGCCAGTCTTCCCGGATTTCAAGGCAAGTCGTGGAAGAGAGATGTGCTGTGTTTTGTCAGTTTCGTTGTACGGTGGTGCGGAGGCCTGGACGTTGCTTCGAGGTGATTTGGACCGGCTGCGGTCCTTCCATACGCGATGCCAAAGACGGCTTTCTTGGCAGCCGATGGTTCTACTTGATCGGAAATGTGACCGTTGCACCTGCAACCGGTCTCCTCGCGATCGAGAGCTTAGTTCGAGGGAGGGGACGGCTGTCACTTTGCGGATACGTCGCCCCGTCTTGACACGCAAACTACAGCAGCAAATTGCGCACTTCGGTTCGGGGTCAACGTTGGAAGTGGGGAGTGCGACCCTCAAAGGAATGGCGCCGCCCCATGGTCGCCGCCCCCCCCCGAGATCCGCGGATCAAACAAAACCGCTTGAGGCACCGGTACTGGACGGCAGCAAGAGCAGTTTATGCGAATGCTGTCGCAAGAGGTCACACGTTTGGCGAAATGGTCCTTCGCTGACGATGCGTGATGAATGTGGAAGAGTTAATTTGCATTGACACCGCGCGAGAACGTTTACACACCCGCGGTGTGACCCTCGGGGAACGAGCCCCGGCACTACCACCACCACCACCATTAAAGGTGCCCTGGGACTCGGTGGCACGACCGTTGCTGCCCTGGCTGTCCCTGGGTCTCGTAGTCGTGCCAATTGTCATTATTGTGGTGGAGGGCATCGGTTGTCTTAACCCAGGCTGTGCGCCACAATGTTGTTCTCACCCCCATGGGCGCCACGGTGGCGAGATGTTAACTCCCGTGCCTGGTATACAGGAGGTCGTGGGTTTGATCCCAACCCTGACACCTGTATTTTTTAAGTTTACATGTTCTCCCTGTGTGGCGTGGATTTTTGTCTGGGTCCTCCGGTTTTTCCCTCCACATTTAGAATCGGCGTGCGTTTAGAGCTGCTATAAATTTCCACATGATAAGCCAGCCACCTCGTTGAGCTATCATTTGTGGCCCAGTTGCTTCTGAAAAAGAGCCACATAGCTCAGTGGGCCTTACCTGGTAAAATAAAAATAATTATTTTTTTATAATTTCCCAGCCCCTGACTAACGCCATCCACCTACCACTTCCCCACCCACTGAGCCGGCACAGAAGTGATGCTGGGTTTGAATCCGAGCTTCAGCCGCCCGCGATCGTGGTGTTCAAGTGTTGATTCTCGCACCTCTGATTAGCACGGTGAAAAAAGTTCAACATACATACGTTGATGGTTTCGGCCTGACTAATTACTGCACAGCATCAATATGTATCGTGACTGCATCGCATGAAATTTGGGTCCTGCGATTCATCTTGCAAAAAATGGCAGGTTGACTGTTGTCCGGCGAACGGTATTCCTGTAAGCAAGGTGGGTGAGTCAATTGTTGCCCCTGTATGCGTGAAACAGAGGTTGCCCAAAGGAGGGATCTCAGAGGTAGCTCTGTGATATCCGCTTGTGCGGGCCATTCTCTTAACGCTATGGGGGTCGCGCTTGCTCTGCCAGATTTATCAACGGATTCTTCGTCTTGTGACGCGACAGAGCTAGCAGAATCGTCGTGACAGGGAAGAAGACAAGAAGGCGTTTAAGTATAGATGGGTCGTTTAATACCGTTATAACAAAACAATACATTTGTGCAATAATTAATGTCCGTGTTTGCCCCCCCCACCTCCTGCAGATGTGGATCAACCCGTGCGCTCAGGTGATCTTCGACTCGGACCCGGCACCCAAGGACATGCCCGGGACGACGGCTGTGGAAACGATGTCGCAGGCCATGATCAGGTACGCAGCGTGTTGATCCGTAGGACGTGGCGGTGGAAGATGTGATAGGGGTGCGGGTGGTGATGATGGCGGTTGTGATGCTGTCAAAGCAAGTTTGTTTTTGTTTACACATGTAGCACCTTTGTTACAAATCTGCCACTCAAAGCGCCATCACATTCATACTGAAACATAACATCAGAAAATTCAAAACAATGAGAAAATGTGTATATATATACACACATACTATTTTTCGTTGTTTAAGATGTTAAAAAACAAAAGCAAGTTGTGGCTGCGAGTTAGTTGTTGGTAGTGGAAGATGTGATCGGGGTGGGGGGGTGGTGATGGGGGTGTTCAAAGTGATAATGGTGGCGGCCGTAGTGGTCGTGGCAGTAGGGGTGGTGGATTCCTACACGCCCCTCGGTAAGGAAGCGCTCCCCATCTCCTGCATTGAGCAGTTGTGGCTGCGAGTTAGTTGTTGGTAGTGGAAGATGTGATCGGGGTGGGGGGGTGGTGATGGGGGTGTTCAAAGTGATAATGGTGGCGGCCGTAGTGGTCGTGGCAGTAGGGGTGGTGGATTCCTACACGCCCCTCGGTAAGGAAGCGCTCCCCATCTCCTGCATTGAGCAGTCAACCGCTACCCCGTCGGCAGCGTTGATCGTCGAGCCGTCCGTCGTGCCTTAACCGTTGCCTTGACCTCCCCAGGGGCATGATGGACGAGGAGGGAAACCAGTTTGTGGCATATTTCCTGCCGTCGGAAGACACGATGCGCAAACGCAAGCGCGACTTGGAGGAGGAGCTGGACTTCATGGCCGAAGACGAGTAAGGACGTTTTCGTTTTTTTTCACTTTTACTCGCGCTTTCCAACCAGGGTTAAAAAGCGTTGGTGCATTAACCCCGTCCGTCTCTGTCTTTCTGTAATGCAGGGAGGGCGAGGGTGGAGGGTGCATGATAACTCCCAGAAAACGATCCGATAAGAATGAAACGCCAGGCCATTAATGCTTTGATTCCTGCGTTGCCTTTGTGCTGTTCGCCTTTTGGCGTTCTCTGCTCTAACAGTGTTGAAGGCAAGGCCACAAATGGAGCCGACTCTGGTGTAGGCCAATCCTGTCTCAAGGGCAATGCGTACAGTATCAAAGCATGTTTGTTCGCGTGTTTAACCGCAAGCGTGATGTGCGGTTAAAGCAGACTTGATGATGCCTTGCAATAGGTTTCTGGTTGGTGTCGGAACGTCTAAACGAGCGTGGGTGGCAGTCGTCGTAGTAATGACGCCCTCCTCTTCGCGGCCGTGTCCCCGCAGTTACGAGTACCGAATGGCGCGCGAGTACAACTGGAACGTGAAGAACAAGGCGAGCAAGGGCTACGAGGAGAACTACTTCTTCATCTTCCGGGAGGGCGACGGCGTCTACTACAACGAGCTCGAGACCAGGCGAGCACGAATCCGCCCCCCCCCTCCTGTCTTGTTTGTCTCTGCGTCCGTATGTCTATCCCCTCTGCCTGCCAGTTCATGGAAACCCAGTGTGTGTCTTCCCGTCCGTCTGCCTGCTTGCCAGGTTGTCCGTCTGTCCACCATTACATCCGTCAATCTGTCTGCCTGCAAGCCTTCTCTGTCTGCCCCCCTTTGTCTGTCTGGTCTGCTTGCCTGCCCATCTGTTTGTGCATCCCTCTGTATGTGTGCCTAATTGCCTGTCTGTCCACGCGTCCGTGTGTGCGTTAATGGGGTAGCAGTGTAGCCGTTAGCGCGCTGCATTACAAACTCGGGAGACCCTAGTTTGATTCCCCACTCATTGCCAACAACAGCAATGATCTTCTGAATCGGTGCTGGGCCTCCCGTGGGTCAACTCGGTCTCAAACGAGTACCCAGTGCGATGTGTAAACGTCGCAAAGGCGGCCGGGGCGTGGTTCTAGCCACCCACCCCCTCGTGTGCCGTTCCGGCCTTCGTAGGTGTTCGCTAACAACGCTTGCCCCCAACAGTCTGTTCAGGCTATAGGGGGATGGGAGGGGGTGGATTTCCGTGGTTGTGCTAATGGAAAGTGTGTGGCTTTGTTGCTTCGTGCAGAGTGCGGCTGAGCAAGCGGAGGGCGAAGGCCGGGCAGAGCGCGCAGACGAGCGCCAACACGGTGCTCGGCGTGAGGCACCGGCACATGAACGAGAAGGAGCTCGAGGCACAGGTGCGTGGGCAGGGGTGGGCGCAGGTGCGTGGGTGGAGGGGAGGGGTGAGAGAACGGTGAGTGAAGGCTTTGGGCTCGGGGTGAGAGTTGTCGTCGGGTCTCTTGCGCTCACTGAGCGTGGTGCCATCTGCTGGTCGTCTCGGTCAGTCAAGGTCATGGTCAGTCCTGTGACCTCGTGACAGCGGCGAGCACTTGAGCACTCGACGCGAATGCCTCGGAGGTGCACATAGCCTGGCACCACAAGCGCCGCAGCGACGTCGCCGCCACTCATGTGCGACTGTTGCGAGTAGACCTGGGGACGCTGCCATGGCGGGGAGTAATGGTTCACACAGCGGACTTGCAACCCAAAGGTCGCCGATTCTATTCCATCTCTCCCGGCGTGGCTGTTGAAACAATAGGTGCAAGTTTTTAGTCTCTGCACCCAGCAGTATAAATTGCTACACCAAAGTTAGTCTAAGTTCGGTAGGTCACGTGTGGTGGGCTTGAGTGTGGGGGGTATTCCCGCCCACCCCTTCCAAAACCTCTAGCCAGTGCGGAATCAGAATCTTTATCTAGACTAGAGGAATCCCATGAGCTATGAAGCTCTGATTCACAGATGTCCAGTGGGGGCTGGTCAGCAAGTTACAACAACAAACAATACAAACAAACGATTGGAGTGCAAAATAGAGAAAAGGTGCGAAAGTCATAAATAATTTCACGCCGATTTGGGCAAGATGGCAAAATAACAACAGTCCAAGACCACAGCAAGACAACACAATATGTGGTGTCTTAATTAAATTGCATATTCAAATTCAACTATCCGTACACGGGGTGAGAGGTGGGTTATAAGGTTCAGAGTTACAATATCTTCCGGAACGCCCTCTAGTGGAGGCCCTTTGAAAGGACGGGGAGCGTTCGCGTGACGTGGAGTGTTTACGCTGGCGCCACTTTGCTCCGTGCAGGAGGCACGCAAAGCGCAGCTGGAGAACCACGAGCCGGAGGAGGACGAGGAGGAAATCGAGCCCGACAAGGAGAATCGCGAATCAGGTGTGTGACCGTGATGATAATGATGATGATGGTGGTGAATGTGATGGTAATGATGGTGGTGATTGTGATGATAATGATGGTGGTGATTGTGATGATAATGATGGTGGTGATTGTGATGATAATGATGGTGGCGATTGTGATGATAATGATGGTGATTGTGATGATAATGATGTTGGTGATTGTGATGATAATGATGGTGGTGATTGTGATGATAATGGTGGTGATGGTCGTGGTTGTGATAATGATGACGGTGATAATGACGGTGGTGACTGTAATGATGGTGGTAATGATGGTGGTAATGATGGTTGTGGTGGGGGGGGATAGTGGTTGTGACATTGACAGTATTGGTGATATTTGTGATCGTGGTGTCGATAACATTCGTAACACCAACCAAGATGATAACATTAACCATGTTGATGATGTGGGGGGGGGGGCGGGCGGTTCCCCAGGCGCGGAGGATCGCGCTAGCGGCGACGAGAAATCTGACAGCGACCGCGAGGATGACGTGGAGGAGGGGGCCGCAGCGGGCAGGGGGACGCCCCCCGCGGGGGGCAGGAAGGGCAAGGAGGAGGAAGGGGAGCGGGCGAGGAGCAGCAGCAGCAGCAGCAGCAGCGGCGAGAGCGGAGACGACCGGCAAGCGAGGGAGGCACGAGACGAGGAGGAGATCTTTGGCAGCGGCATCGACGACAGCGACAGCGACGAAGGTCGGTGTGGTGGTGGGGGGAGGGGGGGGGGATACACGAGGCCGTGCGTGCGCGGAATGGCGGCCGCGCTAACCGCTGCGAACCCTGGTGACCCGAGTTCGATTCCCCGCTTACGGCCGGTGACGATTATCTCAACTGGGCCTTTGCCTCCGCTGGGTTTGACTCGGCCTCAAATGAGTAGCCTAGTGCGTGCGGTGTGTAAACATCACCACGAGGGGAGACAAAGGTGGCCGGGCGTGGTGCTTGCCACCTGCTCTCTCGTGCACTGTCCTGGTCTTCGTAAGTGCTGGCTCACGGCACTTGCCCCGAAAGTCTTAAGGCTATAAGGGGGTTCTTTGTCTAGTCTGCATGTGTGTGCGCGTGTGTGTGCGCAGCGGTCGTGCAATGGTAGCACAATGGTAGCACTCACAGCAAATACCAGTGACGATTATCTGAACCGATCCTGGGCCTCCCCTATGTCGACTCAGCCTCAAATGAGTGCCGGGCATGATGTGAAAACATTATCACTGGGGAGACGACTGTGGCTGGGTGTGGTGCTGGCCACCCACCTCCATCAGGTGCCGTTCCAGCCTATATAGTGCTCGCTAACGGCATTTGCCCCAACAGTCTGTTAAGGCTATACGGGGGATTATTTTTTTTCCTTCATGGAAGTGGTTATCGCACTGCGCTTCAAACCCTGCGACCCGAGTTCAATTCCCGCTCACGACCAACACTTGACAATTATGTGACCCGGTCCTGTTGCTGTACGTGCATGGTAAACTGCTTTTGTACCTTACCTAGCTGACCGTGCCAATCAGAGCTGAGAGCGATACGCACGTGGCCTATAATCCAGCAGCAAGGGCTGACGGATCACGAATGCCTCTGCACTTCATTCCCTTTCCCATGGCCGTCGTGGTCGCCATGTCCGCTGTTAGTGCAGCAAGTTGAATCCCTCTCGCTCCGTCTGTCTCGTGCGCGCCGGAACAGGGGGCGAGAGCGGACAAGGGAGCGACAGCGACGGAGGAGCCGGCGGAGACACTCGGAGGAGCGGCGGCGGCGGCGGCGGAGCGAACAACAGCGGCGGCGGGAGCAGCAGCAGCAGCGGTAGTAGCAGCAGCAGCAGCGAGGCGGGATCGGACGCCAGCGAAGCAAGCGGCGACGACGACAACTAAGGGCAGCTCCACACTGCTCGTCGTCGTCCTCATCCGCAGGTTGACGGCGAGAGTCCGCCGGCGTGCTGAGCCGCAGTCGCACCGCCTGCACGCCTCGCCCGACAGCGCAGTGTTCCGTCAGCCCGGACGTTACCACCTGGGGTGGCGCAACTTTCGTGGTTCCGCTTTCATTCTGCGTGGAAACGGTAACGGTGAATTGTGCGCGATGACCACTGGAAATGAGTGGGCGTTAGAGTAATAAATGGGTACCGCTAGCGTTTTGTTAACTTGGTGTTGGTACCGATTCCTGCTCTGGCTCGGTGGACTTATGTTTATTTTGTCTATCGAGCGTAGCTGCGACGCCCAACGCAGCCTATGTTAGAACACGCTAAGATCACGGCGGCACGTGCGTTCTGTCTACAGCGTGTGTCACAATGGGGGGAGGGGGAGCGCCCATCACAATCCTTGCAGGGTGGTTTCTAGTTCACCATTTTTAAAATCTATTGAGGGTAGCTCTGGCTAAAGGTCACTAGCAGAACGAAAACCGGTTGGGAAGGGTTGTTCCGAAAGAAAACGAACTGGATTAAAATTCACTTGCAGCCCCCTTCGTTCGATCTGCTTCTGGATGGAGGGGGCCCCCCCTCTCGATGCCATGCGAGTCGGTGTCGTTTCACCATACTTCACCTCGTTGCGCTTTGGCAAAGGACGTTCCGTGGCCAATCCATCGATCTTGATTGCAGCTATTAGGAACAGATCTGTTAACAAAAAACTATTTAATCACCACACAGGTGGTGGTGGCCATTAACCAGAAACCACTGCGATTTGGGAAAATAAAAACTCTAACCTATTGTAAATGAAAACGGAGGCCGTTTAGATTCGAAAGAGTTTAGCTACGTCTCCCGTCTTGACGTTAACGTCATGGTGGTCATCGTTGGTTCAACTTCAAAAGTCTAGGGCCAGACCCCCGCACGTGTTGATAGATAGATTAAATGTGCACCGCATCGGCCATGATCGATCCACTGCTGGATTAAGGTTCCCCCCTCCCCAAGAAACAAAATAAGTTATAATTTCAGGAGATTGCATCCAACCCTCATGGTCAGATGCCAATTAAGTTGCCACCATACTTTCACAGGTCTTTAAAGCAGTGAATTACGGAAAAACCAAAACGTCTTTCCCCATTTTCAGCAGAAATACAGGGAGGTGTTAAGATGTTCAACCCACCAAGGGAGACCTGTCAAGGCACCAAGTGCATTTGGTAAACTGTGCAAAGAAATATGCGTTGATAATGCACAGTCCTTGAAACAGATATGGCCTGGACCAGTGTCTGTTTTAGGACCTGGTCCAAGTACTACCGACCAAAGGACACCAAGAGACAAACAGTACAAGGACAAAGCAAGAGATGTGTAAAAAAATAGATTACCTTACGCAAAGTCAACGACTTAGTTGGGGAGCGATTGCTAGGACTTTTTTTTTATGTAGAGTTGGCCATTCAAGTTTCTCGTGTATACCAAGCCTGTCTATATTTTTAACTTGTGCCGAGTTTAATAAAATTGTTTTAAGACGTGCAAAGCCATCGTGTGTTTGTCCCCCCCTCCCAGGTGTTGAAAGAGCTCTCGGGTGTTTGAGAATATCCCTTTAATTGGGGGGCAGGCACTGAAATGCTGCTACTATAGGGTGACAGAAGCACACCAGGGCTTGCCATCCACAGGCCTGTCCATCAGATTCCTTCTCCCAGCGCTGTTAAACAAATCGACATGCTTCTGCTTTTTAGTTTGTGGTCCTTCCCCGGCACCTATGATGAGCAGTTGGCTAAGTACGGCGCAAAAGTCCATACACAAATCCTCTGCCCACCTGTCCACCCAAGTGTGTACACCAGTCGATCGGCAGCTCGCATTTGGGTAGGGTCAAATGTGGGTCACTCCCACGTCTTCCAAGGGACTTGGTCATGGCACATGCCTGTAATCCAGCAGTGGAGAAGAGGGTTGGTGGCTCGCACAATGCAGCAAAACATCCTTCCCACAGGTGCCGAGGTCGCCAAAAGGTATGATATCAAGTCAACTAAATATCTATGGGGATAGCGTGTTGGTGCCCCCCTCGTGCAAGGCCTGGGGTTTCCTCCCTACCTTGTATAAAAACAACTGGGCTTCAATTTTATTGAGAGCAGTAGCAGCACCGTTACTAACAAGACTGTACTCACCAGACAACTGTGGCAACACGACCGCACTCTACGATATCCGGCGCCAAACCGTGCCACACGCCTCTCGCACCTGGGAGTCGCGGTACGTCTCATGACCTCTAGACATGCCCCTAAAGTTATTTAATTAAAAACCCAAAGAAGCAGGACCCTCTTGAAAAAGACGTTCAAGAGGGTCCGGTGTGACTTTCGTGGATAAATAACTTGCATTTGTAGAACGTATGGAGTGTAGTAAACAGGACATGCCCTCGAGGTGGGGTTCAAGTGCTCTGGTGGAGGGACCCTGCGTGTGTTTAGTTTGTTGGCAACATACGGTGCAAAAGAAGTTCAACATGCTCGTGCTGCTGCCAATGGCAGAATATTGCAATAGCAGGCCTTCACCACCTTAATATATTTCCCTCTGTTCGACGGAGCACTGCTGTATGAAAGACAAAAAAAAACTGGCAAAACCGGAGGTTATACAAGGTTTTTATTCGGCATCTCCAACATGTCCGCTCTCCATTCATTCTCTCGGTAACAAATACCGTGTTACACGTTTAAAACAATAGCCAAAAGGTAAACACTTAAAACAAGAATAACATGCTGTAAAGATTTATTCGAAAAATGTGCAGAACTGCATATTTTTTGTTTATATATTTATCATCGGTCTGCAAAACCCTGTGGTTTGAGCTTTTTAAGAATAACATTTTATTTTAAAAAAACGGTGCGACGTTGCCAAAAGTTAGGCCTTTTGTTAAAATGTATTTTTGCGGCCGATGCTGCAATCGGCTGTGATACCAACACCCCCCCACCCCCCCCCCCCCAGACACATTTTCTCTTTGAAAATCCCAAATTGCGCAAGTTTCATATATTTTTTTTAATTTTCATTAAAAATTTTCTATAAAAAAAGCATGCTGCAAAAATCCTTTTAAAAAAATGAAACCACATCGTGAGGGAGGGCTCGGGATGTGTCAAGCGTAAAAGGAGGCATGGTACCACCAGTGAGTACTGTAATCGGCGATGAGATGTGCAGAATAATTTAAAATAATAAGCTATAATCGACTTAAACCAGCCTCCGGCTTCCGTTTGCTTGCACGCGCCTCTGGGAAATAAATCGGAAACATCTGGGTGAGAAAGTACGCATATAAAAAAACAAAATCGGAGGCTTTACAATTTAATATTTGCCAGCTTGTCAAGAGTTCGTCAAATACCACACCGACTCGCCTCCCCCCTCCACCCCCAATCAACCAACTAAAAAACCCCCCAACTTCAACCACCGCCGTGCATGTTGACAGCACCGCAGATCACCGCTGTCGTGTCAACACGGGGGACGTGGGAGAAATTCCTCCCGTCATTTGAATTTTGAGATCGTCGCGATACACAAAAAAAAGGAGGGGAGGGTACGGGGGAGGAGCCGGGAAAAGAAACTCAACTAACGGAACTAAGAAGAAAAAAAAACAGACGTACAGGCGCTCTCGCTAGCAAACCCACCCACCCATCCTGTGTGCGCACCTCCACTTACTAAAATAGCGTTACAATAAAAAATAAAACCACACGTTTTCCCCACGCTCGAGGAGCGATATTTAGTTTGTGGGTATGGCTTCTCGATTGTGGAGTGGTGACGAAGGGGGGGTTGCTGGATTTAGAGACGTGACCAGTGGGGTGGGCGACGCGATTCCGACAGGAGGTATACCGCTACTCGGGCACCTGCCCAACGCCTGGCATGGCGGCGGTGGCAGGGCCCTTGGCACTGTCGAGCCGATTGTGCAAGCACTGTGGCCGGGCAGACGTGGCGGGCAAGACTGTGCGCTGCGGGGGGGGAGGGGAGCGGCGGACCCAGGGAGCGCTGCTCCCGACACACAACAACACCCCCCCCCCCATAGGGGAGAGTTAAAAGCCCATTTTGGTCCTGCGTGCACAGACGTGCGATTAGAAAAGGGGGGGGGGTGATGGGACAAAAAACGAAATATCCAAAACACAACATCGACAAACCGGCTGTGAAAGTGTCTGAAAGAATTGGGAGTCTTTTTTTTGTAAAGGTTAAACAATAGCAATGGTGATAGTAATAATAATAACTAAACAAAGTATTTGGTGAGACTGCTGCGTTGGCAGTGGTGTACGAACACAAACAACAACTCGTCCGTCAATAATACCGTGGAGGCATTTAAGTTACCATGTTGTGTGGGTTAGTTTACGTGCTATGAATTAGGACCATTCCACAAAACGGCCACCACTATTTGACGTTTAACTTTCGGCGCCACGGTGTTACCGAGAAACGTTTACAGTTGGGTTCCGCTTTTGTTATGTAATAGTAACAATAAATGATAACGTAGAACAAGTGAAAAGAGAATTATACAAGTGAAAAATTAAGTGCAGCATTATTAAGAGTTAAAAGCCCTTTAGGTGAAAACCAAACTTCACAGCAAACGTCAGTAAGGCTTCAAGAGGATCGATCGATCGTCCTCTGGGCCAGCGAGGGCATCCCCAGGCACACTGCCCCATCCCCTCTGCCCCACTGGACAAAACAAGCCGCTCGCTGCAAATCCTGCACGGCATAAGACAAGGGCAGCCCAATGTAATATTAACAATACGAATTACGGCACGCACGTGCGTATCGTTCATATAGGAGAGGACTCTTCGACACGCACTCAACACGGTACATCCATTGTCCTTGCAAGCTTTTTAGAAACAAAAAAAACCGAACGTGAAGTCTGAAAATGTTCCGTCGCATGCGACGCGCGCGAGGAGGAGTAGGAGGAGTGCATGAACGCAGCCTTTGGCCGAGTATTGGCCGATGCATTTTGGAGTCGTACAAAAAAAAAAGTTGCCCCGTGGCTCAAGTAATTTTTGTTAAATATATTTGTTTAAATCTCTTGACGTTAAAACAATGGGTTATTTTTTACATTTTACTTTTTAATGCCATCCCCCATCGCTTTTAGTGTACGAATGTCGACGGACACGAGACCACCGGGCGTAGAGTGGGCAGCGCTTTGCAAAAATAAAAATAAACCCAACGTTGCATCCGCAGTACAAACGCAACTGACACGCACGACCGACCCTCTCGCGTGGGTAACAAACTTTATATTGTATCATTCATTTTTATGCTTCTTCCTATGAAAATACGATTTTTAATATTTTCTTACATTTTTCTGCATTTATTTCTTGCGTACGTAAAAAAAGAAATATTGGTAAACGGGGGTGGGGGGGGGGGAAACAAAAACACAGAACACGACTACACAAATGGTTGCCAGCCATTTACCATTGCTCTGCGTCGACCAGGAGAAAGAGGAATAATGGGGGGGACAAAAACCGACGACGAAAATCTGCCCAAAAAAACAGGAAGGCGCGGGGGGGGGGGGGGGGGGTTTGGGGGTGTTTACAATGCAATAAATATGAACATAAAAATCTAAAATTGGGGTAAAGGGAAAATATATATTTATATATATGTTTTAAGCAAATGACCAAAAAAAAGTTAGTTCGTACAAAATTAGTCTAAAAAAAAGTAGTAAGCTTAGCGTCAAAAGTGGGGCAAGTTCACGCGCTTTCAGTCTTCCTGACTGCCGGTGGGAGGAGGCGGGATGGGGGGGGGCGGGGCTCTAGCGTGCGGGAAGATTCGTGTGCCGGTGTTGAAGCAGGAGGGAGGAGGTTATCCCGGTCTGCTAAGATGTTCGTGGATAAAAATACAGCCACGCTGGGCACCGCGCTCACGGTCCAGTTTGGCCGCTATCAATCCGTCAAATATCGGTGCAAGCAGCACTCCGGTCGCATCTTCCGCCCCCGCATGGGGGGGGGGAACAAAAAACTGTCAGGGTGGGAGGAGGTTTTTGTGCGTGTGCAGTTGCTCAAACTTTGTTGGCTAAGGTCCCGGCACGCACGCACTTCCCCCCCCACCCCCCCCAATAATACCATGCCCGATTTAGCATTTTTGAACCGTGCACATCCTAAAACTAGATAAAAACCCCACATTCCCCAACGTAATACATCTGCCAGGAAACACGAAGTGCGGTTTTGGAATCCCATGCCATCGTTTAAAAAATAAAGAATTAAAAATTAAGGATTTTTTTTGTTATCCAACACTGCATTTTTCAAAAGTGAACAGCACAGCTGGCCAAGAGAATTAAAAAAAAACACTACGTTTATTTCCAAACTTGCGCAAACAGCAAATAATCATTTGCCATCTTTGTACAAATTCACAGCGCCTCTTGTCGGCGTGCCGATCGTTCCATCACCAAACGCCAACAGAATGAACCTACCGCAACACGGCCAACTCCAACGACGACATGCCCCAAACACCCCCCAATCAGCCAAACACACCGAGACAACCCCTCAACGCTGCAACGCCAAATCGCTCTCCAAAGTGACACCGCCACCGTCGCGACGAAAACAAACGCTTCATTATGGCCATCTCCCAAGTTTTCAAGCGGGGAAAAAAAAATCGGAGGCAGGGAGGAGGAGGTTTTTCGTGAACGTCATTTGATCAGAAATGAAAATGGCTTTGCTTGGATTCAATGGGAGCGAATTTCGGGTTTAAAAAAAAATCTAATTTTAAAAACGTGTGGGAGAGGGATGACGATAAATGCACTCCCCCCCCCCTCCCCCTCCACCACAAAAACAGAGTGGACGTCTAAATAAACCCCGACGCTACCCTGGACCCTCCGTTCTTAAAACTCAACGGCAAAAAACATAAAAACACGTCCTGAAGATCCCACACGCACCGAGAACCCCGTTCAACGACTTAATCCCTCGCTTCTTCAAAACACAGCCTCCTCTTGATATTTCATTATAAAAACTTTCACTTAAGCACCCACACGACCACAATCGCCGGCGCGGACCACGCGAGGCTCCCCCCCCCCCCACCACTCTACAGGGGTTTCTCTCCATCCGCTGCGACCGCCATCCACTCACCACCATCCCCTGCCCCCCCCCCCCTTTTGGAAAACCCCACTTTGTATTTCACCAGACAAAAAGGAAGAGGAGAGCCAAACACTCCAGCCAGCACAGATCCCCGGCATCTCCCCGGGCCATCTTAAAAAAAACGCAAAACAGCTCGCAAACAACTTAATGACAAGAAATAAAACCATTTTAAAGCAAACATAAAAGCGATAACTTTTAAATATCTTTACAAAAAAATTAAAACTATGGACGTCCCCGCAAGCCTGTACAGCCATATTTGGTTTCGGTAGAAAAATATTTGGAGCGCCGCGTTCACCGGTCGCTCGCTTTACCATCCCCCCCCATCGTCTCCAGGGTCAAGAAGCGTCGCGCATCAAGCGGACAACACCTGAACTGGGCACCACGGCAACAGGGTGCGCGTGTACACACACACACACACGAGCTGCAGGTAGCAGTCGCCATGACGCTCGTTGCGTAGATTTGAGTCGCCAGCCTTTTGTCAAGTCTTGCCTATAAAAATCAGAGACGCTTTAAACAAACCAGGCCAATCTCCGATTCCGGTGTGCATTGGGGTGAGATTTGGCAACCTTCTCCACACATTTTGGATGGTTAAAGACGGCCACTAAACTACAGCTGCCCCCGTCAATTTTACCCAGCAAATGAATCATTCATCGGATAGAGCAAGGGGCTAGGTGGGGCTAGTAATAGCTCCCCGTTGCCACCGGCACCTTATACAAACCGCACTGGGGCTGGTCCCAACCCCAGCACGGCACACATGTGCCAGTGGAAAAGACGAGGGCGGTATTGCTGTAGGCCTGCCAGTCCCACGACAACTTTGCCCGTCCCCATGTGCCGTTTGTGCTAAATGTCGAACGTAAAAATATAAAGTTGCCGATTCCTTTTGTGCTGTTTTCACCAAACAAAAAATGTGAGGTGGAGGGGGGGTGTGTGTGCGAAGTGAAAAAAAAAAACCCATTCACAACAAATGCACCCAAACGTGCAGAGAAACGAAAACGTTAAAAACGCCACCACCGCAGAGAAAAATAACACCCGTGAGAGAAATCCACCGCTGTGCACTCAATGAGGGTAAAGTGACCGTTAAATATTCCGTGATATTTCAAAACGTGAGCGACAAGCCAAGGGAAGGAAAAGCAACATTATATTGAAACAAAATAATATTATTTAGTGTTTGAAACGCAAAACAGCACGGAGGAGGCGACCGCGTTTCGTTAGCACTGCGGAGTTGACGAGCGCGACCCCCCGCAATGTCCGAAGGGGAAACCCCCACGCGGAGGGAGCGAGGGACGGGTCGTCTGGAGCGGTGTGGAATGTAGCGACGCGGTGGAGGTCAACCTCTGCACGAATCCACTCGTCCCCCCCACCGCCACCAATAGAGCGAGTTGATTAAAAATAAAAAAAAAAGATGGTAAGAATGGTAACGTTACCGAGAACCAACGAAATTTAAAAACGGACCTGAAGAAGAGCATCACGTGGACCGAATGGTGGCGCGCGTTTATCTTGATAGACCGGAACGAACCCGCCAAGGAGGTTAAAACGTTAAAAACTACTCGCGGCAGTTCCCCCCACCCCCCCCCCCCCACGAATACAAATTTCACCGTCATTCAGGCATTACTGCACGCGGGGGGGCCCATCATCATCGTCGCCAGTTGTGGCTCAAAAAGCGCCATCCTTGCGCACACCCCCGGTGCCTTAAGCCACAACTGGCGATCTGAAAAAAAGAAACACGCACGCGCAGCCGTAACCGGGAAAAAAAAGTTAAAATATAAATTCTCAAACTTTAACAGAACCAAAACAAAGCACTCAAGGCCCATTAGCCGCCACCGCAGCTTTACACAAGATTCCATTAGTGTCCTTTTGAGAGAAGTTTGATTTTCCCAAGCTGGCTCAATACGGGAGCCTGAGCCACGAAAGTGTGAGTGAGATGGGGTCGGGAGGGGAGGGAGGGAGGGGGGAGGAAGCGGTGGGCCCCCCCCCCCCGTCCCTCTCGGTAAAAACTCGGCAACAAAATCGGAGCTCTCAAATCGTCGAGGTCCGGTCCACTCCATCTGTGGGCAGAGATATGAAAAACAAACTGCGATTCAAATTGCGCGCTTTCAATAATATAAAGATAAACTCAATTCTAAAAACTAAACCGTTGTGTATTTTAGCAGATTTTTTTCAGAAGCGACCTGGCCACAAATGATCGCTCAACAAAGTGGCCTATCAAGCGAAAGCTTACAAGCTGCAGCCAAAGACTCGAACTGAGTGTCGATTCTAAAAATCAGCTTCATTCTCCCGTTAAAATAAAATAAACAAAAAAAACACGAATTGCCTGTGGCCACCCCAACTCGTCATCTGCCCTCTCCCCACAGCCCACTGAAAAAAAAGACTGCCCCTCTGCGCAGCTCACATCTGCTCACTCTTTGCTTCTCCTACTCCCCCTCTCTCATCCGACATCAGCCTGGTCATTCCTTCTCCCTGCTGCCCATCTTGACCTGTCGCCTCCTCTCCATCCATCTTGGGGGACTTCAGTCACAGCCTCCCCCTCCCGTTTTTTCCGTTTCCCCCCCCACCACCACATCCCCCAACTACGCTTCCATTCCTGTAGTATGCCACGGGTAACATGTCCTGTGTGTATGTGGAACTTCTTCTGCACCGCATGTAGCCAACCGTGCAAATCAGGAGGTGCGGTGGAAAGACAACAAACTACCCGTGCGTTCACAAGTCTCAAGCCAAGTGTTGTCTTTAATATACAAGGGGCACGTTCATGGAATAACTTTGCACTTAAACAATGTTTACGATATCTGGATGTGATAGCGAGCATGATAGTGCGTGTGTTTGAGAGCAAGCGTCATAGCGAGTATACAACGGTGGGGGCAGTAGTGTGTGCCAGCGTCCGTGTGCGACTGTATGTGTGCCTGGACGACCGTCAGTCATCTGTTGGTCAACCTATGGCACCAGGGTGTCGCCGTGACCGCCTGTCAAGCGTGCCTTTGACACTTCACGTGGCCTCAAACTGCACCCAAACTGGCACAAGCGCCGGGGGTGATGTCACCGTCACTTAACGGCAGGTGGCGGCTGTTATTGTGCCAGTATGTGCGGCAGCGCAAGTGCAGCAGTATTAAATGTTAGGCGGTGTTTCGTAGCGGTGTTAACAGGCACTTGTTAACAGCACTTGGCCAAAGTCCACGAAGGCTATGGGGGATCTTTGTCTTGTGCGCGTCACTACGCGCTCGTTTCCGTATGAGCGGTAGTGTAGCGGTTAGCGCGCTGCGCTACGAACCCGGCGACCCGAGTTTGATTCCCGCTCACGGCCTACACCGGTGACGATTAATAATCTGAACCGGTTCTGGGCCTCAAATAAGTACCTGGTGCGGTGTGTAAACATCGTCACTAGGGAGACAAAGGCGGCTGGGCGTGGTGCTGGCCACCCACACCCTCGTGTACCGTTCCGGCCTTCATAGGTGCTCGCTAACAGCACTTGCCCCTACAGTTTGTTAAGGCTACACGGGGGATCTTTGTCTTTATTTCCATTTGACATAACGACGCTCATTAGTAGTCTGTTTGGCAGTGATCGCTCGTGTGTTGGGGGGGTGGGGTTGGCGGATCACGCTGAGAAGGGGGTGTGCCACTCACCTCCGAGAGCGTGCTCCGTCATGCGCAGGCACAGGGACTCGAGCCGGTTGTTGATCTCGGGCTCCGTCACGGGAACCGGGAACTCTGCAACAGGAAGAGACCATTCATGGCGCTGAACTCGCCTCTCGGAGCCGATTCCAAAATACACATAGCTCATTATTCTCGGACGCCTAGATTATGAGGTATAACTTGCATGGGGGGGGGGGTTCAATGGGAGAGGTCACAGGGGCTGTGCCTTACATCGACCTCACCAGGTATACGGGATGTGTTGTGTGCGAGGATGTAGTACTGCATGTGTGTGTAATGACAATAGGGCCTGCATGCAGTGTGAGGGGACTAGTGGCCACGGAAGGTAATGACAGGGGTACGAGCTGCGAGTGCTAAGGGACTGGTGGCTACAGGAATGTTCGAACAGGGAGCGTGGTCAGGCGACGGAAAAGGTCGGTAGAGTCTTCCAGTAGAGGCAGCGTCCAGAGTCAGCGAGAAGGATCGAGAAGGGGGGCGTGGCCTCGTGTTGATACACAACGGAGATGTGAGGGAGACTCGGGGCTGTTGCATCGCCGCCCGATGTCAAGTGAATGTGTCGTCAACAAAGTGCCATCTCAAGAGAAGTGTGTCAAGCCGACATGACATGTACATGCGATTGTATCGCACGCAGGGGGCACAGCTGGTGCATCTGCCAGTCAACCCATGGCATCTGGGTTTGTCCCGTCACCTCACGTCAACGAGCCTTCGAAATTTCACGTGGCCTGGCCTGGCACAAGCGCAGTGGAAATGTCACCGCCGCTTAGAGGCAAATGGCGGGTGTTGTTGTTGTGTAGTATGCGTCACTGTGTAGTGGGCACAGTGGAGACCACAGGTGCCAGTCGTCTCAGCCAGTCAACCCATAGCACCTGGGTCTGTGCCACGACCTCCTACCAGAGCCTTTTTACACTTCAGACAGCCCCAAAGTGCACCTAGCTTGGCACAAGCGCGCCGCGGCAACGTCTCCACCTCCTCAAATCGGCAAACGACGGGCATTTTCGCCGGCGTTGCCGTAAGTTGCCGCGCGTGGCACCAATGGCGACGTTAACCGCGCCGCCACGGACACCGCCGGCTTGGGTCCCCGCAATCTCCAGCCACGGCTCAACCAGTTACCCCGGCACCCCACGAGTTCGACTCGGCCTTAAATGTGTGAGAAATGCCCCCCGCCCCGCCCTCCCTCATCTCACCTGGCTGCTGGAAGAGCAACATTGCCTGTGGGGAGGTGTGCACGGGCAGCGACCGCGTCCTCTGCACGGAGCTGTGGGTGCGGCTCGGCATGCTGTTACTGCCGCCGCCGCCGGCACCGAACCAGATGTTCTGCACACGCATCAAACGACAACGGCAACAGCCATCAAATAACAACACGCAAAGATCCCCCACCACAGTGCCGGCCACACCGCTGCCACCAACACTAGGGTGGGGCAGTTGGCAAAAAAAGCCAAATAATGGGATATTCCCCATGCACGAACGTCACAAGATTTTCACGAGACACACACATAGACAGCGTAACAAATACAGGAGTATGACACCGGATCATTTAAAATAATTGCTTTCACTTTTCAATGTGTTCTTAATGTAATACTTTGCCACAATATATAATTTTAAAAAACATCTCACAATACACATGATCACAGCACATTTGGCAGATTATTTTTAGTGCTCCAAGTAGAGGAACATTGAGAGAGGAGCATGCAACCGCCAGCCGTCTCTCACTTTCCATTGCAATGATGTTTCCTCTGCTCGTGTACCCGAACAGCAAATTCCGATGACCTGCAACGATGTGACGAGCAGCCATCGTCCAGAAACGGATCAAGAGAAGCACCGTGCATGCGTGTGTGCGTGGCACGTCGGGCCTATCCCGTGACCTCCTGCTAGCAGGAGAGCCTTCGACACTTCACACGACGGCTTCAAAGCACACCTAGCCCGGCACACGCGCCGTGGAGACGTCATGGCGGCGGCTGTGGTACCTGACGTCCTTTGCTCAGCACGGCCGAGGATCCCAGCATGGTGCCGGCCACACCTCTCTGCGTCGGACCCAACAGCCCAAATCGCGTCCCCTGTGGCGTCGTGGGAAGGCCTCGGGCGCCCAGCGGGAAGGGGCGCTGTGGCCTCCAGGGCAGGCTCAGGCCACTGGCCAAGGCACCAGGAGGAAGGGGCAGGGGCTGTCCAAAGACTCCCCACCTGCAGGGAGAAGGCATCGGGGTGAGGGTGGGGGGGGGGAAAAGAAAAGGTCACCGAGAATTGGGAACGGTTCTTCAATTTAAATTCCAAATTGTCCAAGTGGCGCACAGTGGGGTGGGGGGTAGCTGTCAAGTGTGCAGGTGCACTGGGGACCACGGGGCCTGTAGCGGTGGACAGGCGACAATCTACTGAGCATAGCCAGTCAGGGTAGATGCAGGGTATTTAACGATAAACTTGAATCCTTCGATGCAATCAATAATAAAACACACTTCGCCCAGCAATGGACTTGACGAGTGTCATACCTCATTTTCAAAAGGATGGTCCTGCTACACTGGAATTAGACAAATATTCAACTACACATACAAGGAGGGGGAGAGGGAAAAAAAATTGGAAATGGGGTACCCCCCCCCCCACTCCCACCATTTCATTTCCTTAAGCCAGGGCTCACGTCAACCTCGTGACTGTATCAGGGTAACGTAAAGGACGGGAGGGGGGGGGGGGCATGGCACATTCCGAACACTCGCGGCTAGCAGCGCATCACCCCGTGTGCGGAGAACGGCCCTGGAAGATGACGACAAACGGTGGCGGGTTCGCGACGACATCGCCGTCGCTCGGTGGTGGCCGCTGTTGTCGCCGTGTGCGGTACCCACCCGCGTCCCTGCTGCCGGAAGGCTTGCATCTCCATGATGGGCTTCCGGGAAAAGGCTCTGAAGAGCTTCTGAACCTGCTGCTTCCAGGAGAGAATCCTCTTCTTCTGAGTCTCAGTGAAGGCCTAAAAAGCATACACAAAAATCGACCGTTAGCAAACTTGGGTGGGCCAACATCTTAAAAAACTATAGATCACCACCACGCCGGCCAAACACAGCCAGGCGGCTTGGTGGTTATGAGCAAGCAGCTCGCAAATCGGAATGTCGCGTTCCAACTCCTGGTTGTGTGGGGGGGGGGGGGGGGGGGGGTGTTTACTCTATCCATCAGCCCTCTGGGGTAAACAAGCTTCGTGACATTGTGGAAATGTGGATTTTCCATCCAGTGGATCGGGGACATAAACCAATGCCTCAACTGAGTATTAAGGCACTGACTTTTGACCATCAGATATAATCCATCTGGTGCTGGACAAAAGCTTCCCCCACCCCCAATGGCATCGTCTCATCACCCACATTCATCATCAGACACGATTTAGCCACTGCTGGGTAAAGGTTTCCACAAGCTGTTACCATCTCATTATTCTGCAGTGCAACATGTATGTTGAACTTGTTTTGCACACAGCCAACTTGCTAATCAGAGGAAGGTAAAATTAAACAAAACGAAGGTCTAAATAAATTGAGTTTTCAATAGAGATGATTTAAAAGTGTATAGCTCCAGTGGTTTCCTAATAATCGGAAGGTAGGTAGAGCATTCCAGACGGCCACAGAAGCACAGCGGAAAGCGCGCAATGCGGCAACGAAGCCAATTTTATCATTTCATCTCCGTGAAGTCAACCCTCTTCGGCCTGTTCAACAGGTGTTAGATGGATGGAAACAGGCACGGGAAACAATACACTAACAAAAAAATGTTTTACCAGGTAAGTAAAGCCCACCAAGAGAGACTTTTTTTTAGCAGCGACTTGGCCACAAATTATAGCTCTACGAAGTGGCTCATCATAACGTGGACATTTATATAGCAGCCAAATAATTTAAAACGCATGTCGATTCGAAATGGGGAAGGAAATAACTGGACGACTCGAAGAGGAAAAACCCACCCCACCACGGAAAGCGAGACAGGCACACGCCACATATACAGCAAGGATCGGATTCAAACCCGTGACCTCCTGCATACCTGGCGAGGGAAATAACATCTCCACCATTAGCCCCCCCCCCCCGCCCCCCTTGCGGCAAGTATCACGCAAGCGCGCGCTCTTTCTCCAACAGCCAAATGCCGGCGTCTTCCCGCGTGTTCTCCAATGCGAGCGTTCTTCTCCCCCAGCCGCGCGTATTTCCATTAAGATGCTCGCACTGCTGCTGATGATGCCGTCAAAAACACAAAGCGCGCGACAACTCCGCCCCGCCCCCCCCCCATGCCCCCCCGACGCTAGGCGATGTAATGCGGCGTTACACGCGGAGAAGAATGCCGGCGGTGGCATTGCTTTGCAAGGCAAATTAACGCGTGGCTGGGTTGGGGGAGGGAGCATCAAGTGCTTTTCCAAGGAATATGAATGATGTTTTTTCCCCCAAGCTATGAGCCCATGACCAAATCATCCGGTATGCGCTCAGTTAAACCGGATCACAGAAGATAAGCAGGGTGGAGTCTTGACAGTGTACGGACCGACAGGTTCTTAAAAATCGGCCGATTCGCAATCAGTGGGCTTGTGAATGAGAACACACAAAGCTGAATGGGCGTGGTACAACACCCCTCTAGCCGACACGGCCAAACAAAATCGCGTATAGTAGGTCACACGAGGAAAAAAAAACACGTGCCCACTGGTGTCTGCTGAAAGAAGCCAGGCAACGGACTCCGTACTTTTGGCAATCGAACCCTCGCAAAACAAATACGAACCATGACATCGGCCGTGGAAACCTACGCATTTGTCATCACGGGCTGCTGCTGCAGGCCCACGTTATCAGCAGAGGGCAGCTAAACACATCGTTATACTGTAATTCTACGGGCCCGCCCCCCTTCCAATACCCGCCAATCGCCACCAAGGTGAGGGTGATGTCACCACGGCGCCCATACCGTGGCCACATCACCTCACGTGGCCTCACGACAGGTCACGGGGCAGACCCAGGTGCCATGGGTTAACCGACTGGGATGACTAGCAGATGCACCACCTGTGCCCCCTCCCCCCCCCCCCTACTGTGCCAACGGGCGCCCGCCCCCCCCCAACACCCCACCCACTTTAACCAACATGCACGGACCAGCACGGTGAAGTATAGTCAGTGGATTTGACAAAACCCGCTGCGGTGTGGGTAGGGCGCGCGCGAGCGACGATTCCGTCCGGTCGCCGTCTGCCATCTGCAGGGCTGCAGGGGCCCGGCAGGGATGGCGCTCGCTCTGTGCCCTCGCTCACCGCGTGGGTGAGACACTTGTCCAGGAGCTGCAGGTAGGAGCTCACGTTCTCCTCGTCGGGCCGAGACACAAGCAGCTGCGTGCAAGCTGAGAGGGGCAGCGGGAGGGGGGGGGGGGGGGAGATTTCTTTTGAACTGCTTTGTGTTTAGTTTGTTGTCATTCCCCTCCCCCGCGCCTCCGATTACCACAGTTGGCTACGTACGGTGCAAAGGCAGCTCAACATGCATACACACCGTGAGACGGTACACGCTGGGAGAGACAGACATGCGTCTCGTTCACGCGCAACTAAATCGTCCACGTTATCCGACTGGTCGATTAATTCAGGACAATAACGGCCGAAGATGGAACCATCATAGCCACTGCCGCCGCCATCATCATCATCACCTTTCCCGAGCACGCGCGTGAACTGTCCCGGGATGTCCCCCTCGGCGATGAGGGCCGCCACCGACTCCACCTCCCCCCCAGGAGTCTGGTGGACCTGTGCGGACAAAGCCACAACCACGCACGTCAGTCCCCCGCCCCCCACCATGCGAACCCCCCCGCGGGCTGCATCGCACAATCGTTACGCGCACCGCTGTTGCGATTATCGTCCAATTAACCCCCTTCTCCTCAATACGTTTTATTTGAAAGGAAAAAAAAATAAATGTACGTGAAAGTTTAATGAGATCTGAGAGTCAAAGGAACTGCAATCCACCAAGACGCACGAACGGTTTTGAAATGTTAACGTCACCCAGTCGTATAATTCACAGCCGCCCACCTCCACCACAGCGCCCACCTCCACCACAGCGCCCACCTCCACCACAGCGCCCACCTCCACCACAGCGCCCACCTCCACCACAGCGCCCACCTCCACCACAGCGCCCACCTCCACCACAGCGCCCACCTCCACCACAGCGCCCACCTCCACCACAGCGCCCACCTCCACCACAGCGCCCACCTCCACCACAGCGCCCACCTCCACCACAGCGCCCACCTCCACCACAGCGCCCACCTCCACCACAGCGCCCACCTCCACCACAGCGCCCACCTCCACCACAGCGCCCACCTCCACCACAGCGCCCACCTCCACCACAGCGCCCACCTCCACCACAGCGCCCACCTCCACCACAGCGCCCACCTCCACCACAGCGCCCACCTCCACCACAGCGCCCACCTCCACCACAGCGCCCACCTCCACCACAGCGCCCACCTCCACCACAGCGCCCACCTCCACCACAGCGCCCACCTCCACCACAGCGCCCACCTCCACCACAGCGCCCACCTCCACCACAGCGCCCACCTCCACCACAGCGCCCACCTCCACCACAGCGCCCACCTCCACCACAGCGCCCACCTCCACCACAGCGCCCACCTCCACCACAGCGCCCACCTCCACCACAGCGCCCACCTCCACCACAGCGCCCACCTCCACCACAGCGCCCACCTCCACCACAGCGCCCACCTCCACCACAGCGCCCACCTCCACCACAGCGCCCACCTCCACCACAGCGCCCACCTCCACCACAGCGCCCACCTCTTTGCCGTCACCAGGCGGTTCCACGGAAGGGGGGCTGCCAGCCGTGCCGGGCCCCTGGTCGGGACGGTGTGGCCTGAACGGCTGGATCGGCGTGACAATCGTCTGGTGCAGCTCCGACAGCGCGTTACGCAAGTTTCCAGTCTCCAGAACCTCCTGCCAATACGCAGATATACAAAGCGTGGTTGTTATCGTTACTACGATTATTTGTATTAATTCCGCTCGCTTACTTAGGAAGGCCTCGCAGAGTCTCACGACGTTTTTTCCCCCAAGAGGGTCCCCCCCTGCCAAATGTTCTCAGTAAGGGGCGACAATTGCTGTGCGTGTATAATCCTCATCGATTCATTCGTGGGCAATTTGCTACCCTCGCACGCCAGCACAACGTCCGACTCTTGCGAATTATATCGCAGACCTTCATGGATATAGAACTTTTCGCACCGTACGTAGCCGACCATCGACTGTGAAGCTGATAGCACAGTATTAAAACTCAGGGAGGCCACTGGATTCGAACTGTAAACCTCTGCAAAGAGAGGCAAACTCGCTACTGCTGGGCCGAATCACTGCCCTAAAATAGTGGACGCCAGCTAAAACGCACCATGGGTGGGACAGGCTGACGGGGAAGATTGGTGGATGGTTGAGTGGGTAAAGTGGTGAATGGACTGGTATGTTGATGGAAGGGCAGGCAAATGACAGATAAATTAATCAATGGGTGGGTGGCCGAAAGGTGGAAAGGATGAGAGGGCAGACTTTTTAAAAACTGGTAGACACGTTTGTTTGCCCAGAATACAAAATCATATCCTGCTGCAGGAATGCGTCAAGGCAGGGGCCAAGTCGTCCACATCCTGTCGGCAGCACCACGGCATCACCGACAGGCGCGTCACGCGGCGACTCAATGGGCCGATTCTACGCGAGTCTCCCAGACCGGTTTCGCGGTCTTCCGGCAAAAAAAAAAAAAGCGAACGGGAGCGCCAGCTGGCACGAACACACACGTGGGCAACAAACATACCCTCTCCAGCGCCCGCAGTGTGTTCTGCCGCTCCTTGAGTTTCTGTATGCTGAGAACGATCTTGTGCCGCGCTCCTTTCGTCACGTTCTGCAATGTACGTTACACGTATGTTGGTCGATCTTCCCTTTCGCACCATACGTAGCCAACCGTGCTAAAGACCGCAACACGCAGGGGACTCCTCGTGGAAAGGCGGCGGCAACAATTTTACATTTTCAACCTCAAGACTCTTTATAAATATGGGAGGAGGTAAGAAAGTTGGGCCGTTGGGGGAAAAGGCAGCAGTTCCGGGGAGGGAAACATGGGGAAGACAAAGCAGCCAGGGCCCAGCACCAACGATGACAGCGAGCCACAGGGACGGCAGCTACGAGTCTCGGGGAACTCTCACAAGGGCGAGGGTAGTGCACCTCCGGGGGTGATCTGCCAGTTTTACCATGGAATGAATGGGGGAGGGGGGAATTCTTTGACGGTTGAAAATGGCAATTCCTGCCGCTTCATTCAAGCGAACGCAATTTCAGTCAGTTCTAAAGATCGCCACTAGGTGGCGCACTCAGCCCGCTAGCATCCAAGTCAAGCGAACGGAGATTGACACTATTCAATTTCAAAAAGACGAAAGCTGGTCGAGGCTTCTGTCTGGGTAAAAAGCCAAAAAGACAAAGGGCATCCCTGCCCAGGGTCGTGATTCGATTATATGTTTAAGATTGTGGTCAATGACGAGTTACTGCCAAAGCCCACATTTCTACTAACGGTTTAAATGACGCCCAACCTGCAACTTGTCCAAGCCTCTTTCAGTCTCGCACACAGATGTAGAATTTTAAAAAATCCTTTCTTTACACTTGTGGACTGATGCACGTATCGCGAGCATGACAAGCGATATTAAAAGCGACACTTCCCATTAAGTTTCATGCCCTTTGTCCTTTCACCGCCACACAGTTTGTTATTTTTTGTTGTTGCACATTTCATAAGCATCAGGGCCAAAGGGTGGGCTTAGCCGACACACGTGGGATTGTGGGTAGCGGGCGGGGTACATCAGATGGCAGGAATGGGCACCAAATTCTCACTCTGTATTACGCTCGTGGCCCTGCGGAAACTCAACGATAAAAACAAAGAAATCCCCATGGACGGGAACATCGACACAGAAAACAAGCGCCAGTAACTTCTCCACCCCAACCGCCCCACCAGACCGCAGTAAATACAGAAAATAAACTCACCTGGCACTCGAGTTGCTGTTCGGACAAGGCCATCATCTCGTCGTAGTTGAGCTGAGAGAAGAGGCTCGCGTACTTGTGGAGCCTCAGGCTCTTGAGCCAGGCGGGAACGTCTGCGGCAAAAGAAACAGGGGGACACCATACGGCCGACAATTCGGGAGTCCCTACGAAGCACACAAAATTTAAAACCGAACCATTTTATTTTGCCAGGTAATGCCCACCGAGCTATATAGCTCTTTATTCAGAAGCGACCTGGCCACACAAATGATAGCTCAATCAAGCGGCTTATCATTGGGAAAATTTAGAGCAGCCAAATACTTAAAACGAACATTTCTAAAAATGGGAAAAACCAGAAGAACCGGGAGAAAAATCCACGCAACCACGGGGAGACATCAGGGTCGGGATTTAACTCATGACTTCCTGTATATCAGACGAGGTAGTTAACATGTAGAACTTCTTTTGCACCGTACGTAGCCAACTGTGCTAATCGGAGGTGCGGGGGAAGGACAACAAAACCCAGATTCGAATCTTGGATCTCTCCGCGGTGACGGCCCAAGCGCTCTAATTCTCCGAGCCACCTGGCCAAGATCGCTGCAAACATGGTCAGCGCAGGGGACCAAGTGTCAGCAAGGGTCTCACGTGAACCCGTAGGACGTACAAACCACGGACGGCCAAAAAGAAACCCCGGACCTCGGGATTCTCAGTGATGCCGGCTCAGTCGGAGGCATCAAGTACCCCGCGCGTGCCTCCTCCGTGCCATAACTTTTTTTTAGTTTGTGGTCCTTCCCCCCCCCACGACCACCTCCGATTATAAGTTGGCTACATAGGGTGAAAAAGAAGTTCAACGTGCATACACACACACCAACAAGATCCACTTAACCAACCATTTCATTCCAAACCTCCCAAAGCAGTCCACAGCGCGTGGTTCAGCGGAAAACCGTGCGTGCCCGCGCTCTCACCCCTCATGCCCGTGCCCTCCTCGTGGAACGTGTTCCTGTTCGATGCCCCCGGCAGGAGGATCAAATCCTCCGGGTGCTCGCTACCTCCGCTGCCCGACGACGCCACGCTGCTCTGCGGGGAGAGCGGCGCGTGGTGGCCGTGGCCGTGCGGCAGCGGCAGAGGAGGAGGCGGAGGCGGAGGCCCATGGTGGTGGTGGTGGTGATGGTGGTGGTGCGGCAGGGAGTGGTGGTGTTGGTCGGAGGAGACGTAGTGCTGCTGCGTGGAGGAGGAGGAGGAGATGGTGGTGGAGGGAGAGACGCCGCTGCCGGTTGAGCGCGGAGGCCGGAGGTCTTCGTGGGAGAGCCACTCGTTGGAGAGGCCCACGGTGGACAGGGAGATGGGCGGGGTGAGCGACACGGAGCGCTTCAGGGAGCCGTGCTGGGTCTGTCCCGACAGAGCTGGGATGCACACACAAAGACCCCCCTGTTTAGCCTTAACAGACTTTGAGAAAGTGCTCTAGGTACTCTTTTTAGGCCGAGTCGACCTAAGGGAGGCCCAGGACAGGTTCAGATAATCGTCACTGGTGTAGGCCGTGAGCGGGAATTTAACTCGGGTCGCCGGGTTCATAGGGCGGCGCGCTAACCACTACAACTGCTCCCCTTGGACATGCACACAATGAAACCATAGCACTCTGGTGACAGTCGAAACGATTTCAAACCCGCGTCTCGACACGGCAACATCAGCGGCTCCGCTTATGCTCCGACAGCCACGTGGTGTGCTCACCGGGGTTGGTGGTGTTGATGCCCAGGCTGTTGTACGACGGGGAGTTGGTTCCCGGCGCAGCCTGGTGATGCCCGTTCTCACCGAGCCCGCCGTGGTCCTGCCAGCCGCCGCTGAACTCTCTCTGCTGCTGCTGCCACCCGTTGAGTTTGCTGCCACCCGAGCTTTGCCTCTGGTGGTGCGGCTCGAAGGGGAAGCTTGGCGCCGTCGACTGAGAGATACGTACAGCCGCGTGAAACTACAGTAAATTATTGGAGCAATTATTTGGCGGTACACTGCTACGTTGACGGTGGTGGTGCACAAACGCAAATTTGTCACTGGGAAGCGGGGCGAGTTTAACCACCACCCCCGGGGGGGGGGCTGGATGGACCCGTGCAACCGGAAACCCACAAGCGAACTTACCGCGGGATGATCGTGTCCACTCCCACCGCCGCTGCCACCGCTCCCGCCGCTGTACGGCGTCGCGGGCCCCGGCACGGCCACCCGCTCCTCGAGGTGCGAGAACCAGCCGGCGAGCGAGCCCCGGTCCTCGAGCGAGACGGCCGGGTGGATGAGCGCGAAGGAGAGCAGCTGGCGGCTCTCCTCGACGCGGTGCCCGCTCTCGATGGCGTGCGCCAGCACCCCCGGCAGCAGCTTCATGTACTCGGCCTTCGCCTCGGCGTTGCGCGGCTTGAGCAGCGGGAAGTGGGTCAGCAGCAGCGCCAGCGCCTTCTCCTTGGGCTCCTGCCACCACTGGCTCACGCAGGCTGAGCGCGCGCCGGTGCCAGTAGGCGGGCGAGTGGTGCGTGCGTTGGGGGGGGGGGTGTCGAGCGAGCGCATGTGGCGAGGAGTCGGCGTGCGAGTGGGTGGGTTTGTGGGTGGGTGGATGCGTGGGCGGGTGTGAATGTGCGTTCATGGGCGGTTGGATGCGTGCACGCAGGTATGTGGGTGGGCATTTGCAGGTAGGTGGGATGGGTATGTAGGTGCATGGCGTGGGTGCGGGTACGCGCATATGAGGAGTGTGGTCGCGTGCGTTTGCGAGAGAGAGAGAGACAGACGTGGGCAGCAATCTTTAGACAGTCCTACTTCCACATAGGTGGTCATTACAAGGCACGTTATGAACGGTTATAAATTGTGAAATTCCTGGTGTGTACTAGGCATTACTGGTGTAACAGATTCACCGACGATGCATATTAAATTGTACATTTGAATTTGTACGTGTTGTAGGCAACTGACCATTTGCGGCAATACAATAAACCTCAGTAAAGTCACGTAGAAAGAAATCAAATAATAATATAATACGATGTTTCGATTGCAACACAAGCAACCGTCATCAGGTACAAATGAATGAGTTTACCATGTTAGTTCTCATTTATTTGTACCCGATGGTTGCTTGTGTTGGAATCGAAACGTCGTATTCTATTATTATTATTTAATGTCTTTCCACGTGACTTTACCGAAAGAACCTAAGAGTCATTCCTGCAGTCACGGAAGATTCGAATCTAAACCTCACCTGTTGAACCAACACTGGAATGAGATTACATTTTTTAAATGGAATTCGATCAATCAATTTGTGGCGACTCAAGAATAAATCTCTGCCTGCACGAGGACACTGCAGGAGTGGTGCTGCTGCTATGGTTGAGCACACTGCCCCCTTAACCCACGTGACCCACATTTTACTCCCAAACCACGGCGAACACCAGTGGTCAGTGATCGCCATACCACTTCTGGGGGGGGGGCAGGCTCTCCCCCCTCCCCCCGCTGCACATCCCACACCGTTATATTATGCATCACCACTTTTAGTTAAGGACACACTTGCTAAATAATCCTTTGTCTTTCCTGGTGCACATCGCAATTTTCTGTCAACAGCCACCCCCCACCCACCCACCCCTCCTACACAACCTCATCAACAAAGCACTCGATGGGGTTCGCCTTCACACAAGTGAAACGTGGAAACGTGAGCGTACACTCGTATGCACGGAAACAGGCACACGCACAAAGACAAAGAGACCACCCCCCCCCCCCCCCGTGTAGCCTTAACAGACCATTGGGGCAAGTGCCGTTAGCAGGCAGCTGTGAAGGTCGTCAATGGGTAGGCAGCCAGCAACCATGCCTGGCCGCCTTTGTCTCTCCAGGTGCTGATATTTTACACACACACACCGCCCCAGGTACTCATTTGAGAGTCGAGGCAGAGTCAATCTCGACCGTAAGCGGGAATTGAACTCTGGGTCACCGGGTTCGTAGGTGCAGCGCGGCAACCACGACGACACACAGGGCAATGTTCACGCGCATAAACTTGGGCAGTGACACGAAACATTAAACTTCGTGTGTCCGCCAACGTACACAAACACTACACACAAGCTCATCCTAGTTTGGCGGAGCGTGTGTGTGTAGCCTGGCAACAATGTGCTACCACCATTCCCTCATTTGCCACGCTCCTATATGTACATAGTCATTTAAAAAAACAAATACTGGAGGTGAAATGGAAATCTTTTGACAATGTACAAGTGGTTTCTGGCCTCTTTCCCAAATCAGAAATCTTTCAGCAGCACCAGCAGCTTACATCACCCTCGTGCCATCTTAGACCCTACCAGCCAAATACAACAGACAAAGAACACCCATACAGCATAAACAGACTGTTGGGGCAAGTGCTGTTAGCGAGCTCCGATGAAGGCCGGCACGGCACACGAGGGGGTGGGTGGCCAGCACCACGCCCGGCCGCCTTTGTCTCCCTCGTGGTAATTTTTAGTTTTACACCACGCCAGGTAATCATGAGGCAGAGTCGACCTAAGGGAGGCTCAGGAACAGTTCACGTAAAATATGTCACCTGGTGTTGGCCGTGAGCAGGAATCGAACCCTGAGGTTCGTATCTCAGCCCGCTAACCGCTACACTACCTCTGCCCTACCCAGCCAGCCCCGCAGCACAAACACCTCGCGTACAAACAACCTGGTGGTAGCACACACCGTCTGCCCCCCACTGGCTCACGTCTGTACACATCATTATTTCAAGCCTGGCTCCACTCAGGGCAAACCGTGATATTAGAGAACATCTATTCAGGTGGGCAGCGAGCACGTAAAAACACAAACATGATGGCACGGCAAACGCCCTATGCGCTAATAACCGGGACAAAAAAGCTAACAAAATATGAGCACAGGGACACGTGCACGGACAACGGTAAAAACATAAAACGCCAACGTTGCAATGGCATTTTCACGTGTGCGATAATGCCCAAGTGGTTTAATTGGCTTGTCATTATCAGACGATCCTGCTTTCACCGGGTCACGAGTGGATTTAGCAGCATCATTTTATAGGGTCTCCTCCTCATCGCTCTTTTGCTGCTACTATCTCGCCCGCGAAATTCGCACCTTGATATACGTGCGCTAAATGCCAAGGGCTCATTCCTAGTAGGCCGAGAGAAGCGAGGCGGACAGGGGCCAGACAGAGCGTCCCCCCCCCCACCGGCTTAATAAAAAAAAAAGCGCTCCCTCTCTGCACTCAGATTCGTGCCGACGACAGAAAATGAGTTACGAATAACCACAACCGTCGCTGGACGGTGACATCGATAATGGGAAGAAAAAACCCACCACCGCGGTCTGGTTATAGTCACGGGCCTGCCAGGCTCCGGATTTCGCGCGAGAGAACGGGAACGTGGGGGGGGGGGGAGCGCACAAAGCCCCGAGGCATCTGTGACCGCCGCGCGATACCCCGTGCTCCTGCACAGCCAACGAGCCGTTAGTGGGGGGAGTGCACAGACCCCACTCGAGCGACAAATTCCACCGTGGGACGGCAGAGACCGCGCCACTCAGAGCCTCCTTGCACAGTAACGTATTCACGAGCCGTCAGGAATATTTTTTTTTTTTACACGTGGGTTTGGGAAAGCACTATTATGAGACGGAATCGATTTCTGGGCTAGCCACTCGACTAGAGGCAAAGGCATTAATATCGGTGGTTGTGTACAGCCACTTAAACAATGGGCCAATTCCCGCAACCAAAATGTAAGCAACTTTAGATACGAATTAAACACGTGGACAATGCAATTTGTTTGCCTACGGGTCCGGTGGTGAAGGGTGTTACAGACATTGGGCCAGATCGTTCCGAAGCCCAAACCGAAAAAAAATCACGAATCGATATACGTTACTTTTATTTAGATTTGGTAAAAAAAACAGCGCGTGCAACAATGCAGCGGGTTTTCAACTCGTGGGTCGTGCATCCACTTGAAAGCCGCTTAGAGGTGCAGGCTGCGGCATGGATACCGTGCAGGAGAAATTCTGAATGTGTCGGGGATTGTCGGAAAAAAATAAATCATAAAACGAAAATACCACAACCTGAAAAACAAATGCCGAACTACAACCGCACGTGGAAGCCTCAGGAGGTGTGTACATGCGATCTTTCGTACGTTTATGTCATCTCGTGCATTGTGCCCCGAAGAGACCTATTCCGTAACCGATAACTTAAAACCGTACTAGCTGTTATTCATGAGCATCATAATCATGCCATGATCAATCCACTGATAGATTAAGACCTCCTCAAACCGCCATCATGCACATCACAATAATGCCATGCAACAATTCATCCAGCAACTGCACATGAGCAGATTTCACCGCTCCTTCTCCTGGATAGACGTCCCTCTCACCAGGAGTTCGACATTCCTTGGCTGCCACTCCGTTATTAGTCTTGTCCATACATCATCCCTTCTGGCCATGACGGGTCCTGCCCAAGTCCACCTTTCCCAACAATCCAAATTTTGCCACTTGTAGTGCCATGGTGGTGAGACGTTAACTACCTCACGTGGTATACAGGAGGTCGTGAGTTTGGTCTCGACCCCAATGCCTGCATATTTGGAGTTTGCATGTTCTCCATGCGGTGGCGTGGATTTCTCACATTTAGAATCAACATGCGTTTATAGCATTTCCACATAAGCCACTTCGGTGCATTATAATTTGTGGTCAGGTCGTGTCTGAAAAAAAACTATATGGCAGAGTGGGCCTTGCCTGGTGAAAAAAAAATGCTTATAGTTTAGCAATTTTATTAACGTGAGCACGTTCTCCAATTCACGAGTTCCTCTTCGTTATTCCAAAGTGCAATTCATTATTACGAATATTAATTCGCCCCGCGGAGTGTGAGTGCCTCGGCACACGACGACCTTTGGCAAGGTACGCTTCGAAAAGAGAGCCTTGTGAGATTTTCCATCCATCACTGGGTGGCAGGGGCCATCGAGGGGGAGGGGAGACAGCCCCCCCCCCTGCATCTCCAATGCGAGCCAGCAGCTCGGCGTGAAGGCAAGGTTTTGTTCCGTCAAAACCTCTCGCTTACCCGCCCCCCCCCTCCCTACCAGATGTGAACGAGGCGAGTTGGCTCATTTATTGTTAATTATTTCTCCATGGACATTGATTCATTTTTTTACATTTGATTAATATAAATATGCATATGCAGGGCACTTCACTGCCCCCGCAAAATTCCCCAGAATTTCAAAGTGCCGTTCAACTCAACGGTCCAATGCCTAACTGTATCGACTCTCGTTTTAGCCTAGAGGGACACCTCACCTCATGGCAGGCATCCCGTGCGGCACAAGGCAACGCAACATTGGCCTGCAAGCGGGCATTAGTCTGCCGGCAGGGGATGTTACTGGTTTTCAATCAAGCGATTTTTTTTTTCCAAATATAGCAAATCTAGACCGCAACGCCAGCACACATGGCCTACTACACTTTATCTAAACAAATGTCATGGCATCTTTAACGTCCGCATGACCATGCTTGCCCCTACAGG